TTTATCTCAAAGAATGAGCATTTGACAAGGGGATGTGAGGGTGGAGAGCTGTTTTGTTTTCATTTTTTTTACATGAAGGCAAATTGATTTAGAATTCTGTATTGCCAGTACCTCATCCTAGATAGACTAAACTACCATATGAGGTAAAATGCAGCTCTTGGTGTAAGCAAATGTAACTTCAGCAAAACCAATAATAATTACTTACACCAATGCTAAATTTAGTTGGTACTCCTGAGGAAGACAGAATCGCCCATCTGTCATCTAGACCTGGAATCCCATAAGGCGTGTACTACATGACCAGTGCCCAAATGAGAGAGCTTGCCAGAACTTAACTGCCTTTTGGACCCATTATGCCTTCCTGTTCATCCAACTAAATACCAAAGATGTTGCCACAAATGGCCTTGAACAGCTCAGAGAAGTCTTCCAAGGCTTTGGGTAGGAAAGCATGGAGTTTTGGCACACAGGTCGTAGTCTTATTGCTCCCCACCCTTTTTGAACGTAAATGCCCAAGAGGTGTCTATGAAGGTGGTGGTGGTGAGCTGGCTCCAGCTTCTTTGACAATGGAGTGAGGTTCCACAATAGAGGACTGTTGTGCAGGGAGGGGATCCATATGACAATGATTAGGGAGAGCATCTCCGGGTATTGCCTGGCTAACCTGGTGAGGAAGCCTTTAAACTAGGTCCAGTTGAGGATGGTGATAAGAACCCACAAGTCAATGCAAAATTAAGATCAAGGGATAAGGACCAGAGAAAGGGAGCTTAATTCTGGGGAAAGGATAGAAAACTATAATAGGAGTTAAAAAAAAAGATGCAGGAGGAAAAGCAGAAGGGCAGACTGCAAAGTATCTCCAGTGCCTATATACAAATGTGAGGTGCATGGGGAACAAACAAGATGAATTAAAAGTCATAGTTTGTAAAAGAAACTGGCATGGTTGGCATTACGAATGCTTGGTCAGATAACTCTTGTGATGGGTAATATGAACATTGAGAGGCATTGCTTATTTCAGAGGATAGTTATTGCACTAGTGTTAAAAAATAAGTACTTGTTCTGAGGAAGACAGCTGCCCACCTGTCCTGTGCAGCGTGTCTGAGGGAAGATAAAGAGGAAAAAAATGGTACTTCTCTTATGATGACAGTTTTTAGTAAACACCGAATCAGGAAGAAGTGGCTAAACTTATTCTCTTACCCGCCAAAAATAATAAATATCTAAAAACCATGTGCTTGTACGAATGGGGGACTTCCCTTATAGCCTTTTGAAGAAAATATGGCAAAACATAAGATGTTCAGGACATTTTGAATATGTGCAAACAACAACTATGAGAGTGGTCAAGCATTGGCTCCCTAGAGAAACTGTAGAGTCTGCATCCTTGGAAGTTTTCAAGAGCCGTTTAGACAGACACTTGGCTAGCCGGTTTAGCCAAGGATGATCCTGCCCTGAGCAGGGGTCTGCACTAGACGAGCTTGTGAGGTGCCTTCCAGCCCGACTTTTCCCATGATCCTTGGTAACCAGGAATTCTATACATCAGGAGCTTGTAGAGTTAGACCTTTGTACGTGGTTTGTGTCTAGCTGCTTACATTTTAGCACTGACCCTGCAGGAATAGCGATGTACAAATGACAACAGTAGGGTATACTTGCAGTGTTGTTAAAGCCCATTTTTTTCTTTAAGAAAGAAAACAGCAATTTTGGAACACAGCCCAGCTCTGCAGGGGTATATTGTGCAAGAGCAAATGTAAAGTTTTCAGTTTTCTGACCGCTTTTATTCAGCAAAAGGCCTAATGAGAAGGTTTTTCCAGGCTTCTTGGTTTTGGCCTTCCTTTTAGCACTTGCCTCCAAATTTGGAAATGTCCTTGACTCCACACCCTCCTTAAGAAGGTGGTGGGGTAAGCAAGGGGGGTAAGAGTGATCAGAAACCCCCTTGGCTCAGCAAGGGCATTCAGCAATGCCTGAGGACTAAAAGGGGGGTGTACAACCAGTGGAAGGGAGGAGCTATCACCGTACTCCTCCTCGGCCCAGGAGTGTAGGAGGGCTATTAGGAAGGCCAAGGCAGAGGTGGAGCTCAGGCTAGCATCCAGGATTAAGGACAACAAAAAGTCCTTTTTCAAGTACATTGGGAGCAAGAAGAGGACACCAGGCAATGTAGAGCCCCTGCAAGACTCAAATGGTAATCTTGTGGCTACGCCAGATGAGAGATCTGATATATTTAACAGTTTCTTTGCCTCTGTTTTCTTGAACAGGGACCGGGACATCCCTCCTACCAGAGGTAGGGACAATCTCGGGGATAGCTCTGTCAGGCCTTCAGTTAGTGGAGATGTAGTTGGGGATCTTCTGGAAGGGCTGGACATTTTTAAATCTGCAGGTCCAGATGCCATCCACCCAAGAGCGTTGAGGGAGCTGGCAGGTGTGATCGTGGAGCCCTTGGCCCGCCTGTATGAGCATTCGTGGTCATCTGGCCAGGTGCCAAAGGATTGGAAACTAGCTAATGTCCCAATTTTCAAGGGAAGGGAGGAAGGAGGACCCAAGTAACTAGAGGCCCGTAAGCCTCACCTCGGTGCTTGGGAAGATCTCGGAGAGAATAATCAAGGAGCACATCTGTGAGGGGCAAGCAGGGGAGATCATGCTCAGGGGCAATCAGCATGGGTTCATCAAAGGCAGGTCCTGCCTGACCAACCTGATTGTCTTTTATGACCAAGTAACTAAAGCCTTGGATGATGGTGTCGCCATGGACGTAGTCTTTCTAGACTTTAAGAAGGCCTTTGACACTGTCTCTCACCCCGTTCTCATCAATAAATTAGGCGAATGTGTCATCGATGCCTACGCAGTTGGATGGGTAAAAAAATTGGCTGATGGGGCGCATCCAGCGAATAGTGGTGGACAGGTCGTACTCAATCTGGTGAGATATGAGCAGTGGGGTCCTCCAGGGCTTGATCCTCGGGCCCGCACTGTTTAACATATTAATCAGTGACTTGGACGAGGGGGTGGAAAGCACGCTGTCCAAATTTGCTGATGACGCTAAGATGTGGGGTGAGGTGGGGACACTTGAAGGGAGAGAGAAGCAAGGCCAGCCAGACCTTGTCATGCATCCAAAGGTGCATCTCAAGCCGGTCCAGAGAGGTGATCCTCCCCCTCTATACGACATTGGTCAGGCCGCAGTTGGAGTACTGCGTCC